TCGTTCGAGCGAGCACGCCTCGAACACTCGATAGAGAGGATTAGATGCAGAACAGAACGTTAAATCAATTACGAAAGGTACAAGAAGGACCAAAAGCAATTAACACCTTTAACGACGATGCAAAAGCAAATTGAATTTCCGGGGAAATTCGAATACCGTACATGGAGAAATTATCTTTTTGCTTAACAAGTCAAAGATACTTCTTCCATTCCTGGCGCGCTTCTTCGATTTATTCGGCATTCGTAACATCTAATACGCGACTATCGCGTGTCGCACACTCGATGATCGATGGCGTTTGAGATATTTTTCGAAAGAATAAATCTGCGAATAAATCGTGACGAGAAATTGCGAGAAGTCTGTCAGCGAAAAGCGTAGATTCTTTCCCCGTGTACAGTTGGCAATTTTTCGAAATTCTTACTTTTGCATCCGCTCGACATGCACGCGAGATGAAGAGGATCGGCATCGTGCGTGCAGAGGATCTGCGCGCTCGTGTTTACGAGAACCACTATGCTTCGTAAGGTACTTCCGCAGCTGGCAGTGTACGCTCCTCGACGTTTTCGCTTAAAAAGCACCGAGCTGCACGTTCTAACGGTTAAATACCTGTATAAAAAGTAGCCACTTAATTACGAAGATGTCCCCGCATATTTTCTTAATTCGATAAGACTTTTCCAGGCGACCCTGAACGAACGGATCTAATGTACACGTTAACCCTTTCGACACGGTTAATCGGAGAGTCGGCAGAGTTGCCATACGATAAATTTGAACGATAAATAGTCGAAGAAAATGTAGCCATGTCTGCGATATGAACGGAAACGCGAATGAAATTCGAGGAAAAATGATCGAACGTGTAGAATCGAAATTGGAATAATCGGTGATCCTGCGAACAACCATATTCCGATGCTAATCTTTCGGAAGAAAAAGTTGTTTCGTCGACAACAACGCGTAGCTCCACAGGTTAGAGCAGTGATCCGGTTCTAAATCCTGGCTCGGTAATCCTATCAATCGATTCCATGCCTCGTTGTACTACGCAACAGCGGTCCTAAAGAAGCGGTAAAAACTTGTCGACCCTTTATTTTACTCGAATCCGTGCGAATCGATTTGCCAGACCATGTAACAGTCCTGTAAACCGTCGAACTATACTTTCGCGAGCACGAAACGTAACGTTTTCCTTGCGATATATACGTATGTACGCACGTATAAACGCACCGACAAGTGTATATTTGCAACTTGAAAACGTCGACGAATGTCGAGGTATCGTGTCGAACGGGTTAAAAGAAAGGAGCCGGTCGGAATCAATCGGTCAGGTCAATACGTATACACGTCATATCTTAACGAGAACGCGGAAACGGATGAAGGTGGACAAGGGGTAGGGGGATAGATGGATATACACTTTGATTTCTCCGTTTTGCACGGGAATGATTTGAACTCGAACACATCATATAAAAGCAATCGGCTGTAGTCAATTTTGTACGAATGTTATTTTCTTGAAATTATATAATGAAGAAGAGGAAAAAGAGAAATGAAATATCAAAGATGAATGGTAGTTACGTAGGGAAGTATAATATATAATAATAAAGGATTATTCGTGAAGTCTAGCGATGTAAAGTCACGCACGGGATGAAGATATTTTAAACCCGTCCCTCGGGGTACACGCTTTTACTTCGTTTCCTTTCTACGTCCTCGCGTCCTATCGTTTCTCTGCACAATTTTCATTTAGCAACGTCGGTGTGTGTATCAATCTCAGAACGATCCTCCAAGCTTCGTAATACGCTTGTATAAAACTTTGTTCATGGAGATCGTTTCGCGATGTCGCTGAAAACGCGAAACGTTTTTGTACAAAAATCTCGCCACGCTAAGTAAGCTTCTTCGTCACACGTAGAAACTGCACCTTTTTTACGACGAGTTTCCTTTCAACGTCGTGCGTTTCTGTTTCCTCCTGTATTCACGCTTGAAACAAGGTTCCTGGACAACTTTCGCTATTAGCGTTTAGCCATGCATATCTTTAATTGATCGACGATCGTTATTATCGTTTTAGATCTCCTCGTTCGAGCATCGTGCGCGTTAAGGTTGACTTCTTTTCAGTAAAATTAGACTATTAAGATAATCGCTTGGTTCGCGAGTAACTTTCTTCAAATGTTTTACTCGTATCGATAAATTATGGCACATTAGACGATTCTATTTATTGTACGTTGGATGGATACATCAGATTGTTTCACGACGCCTTGAGATTCGGAATTCGAATTAACGAAACTACGAATTTCAATCAACATATTGCATTTACCACTTGCCTTTGAACAGATCTTAAGATAGAATCTGTTTGATTCTGAATAAAGATGAAGTTGTTTCGATATGTGTGAAACAATCTGATGATGGAAGCAAGAAAGTTTATGTAAATGGTGTTTCCTGCGAAATACTTGTATAATCAACGTTAGTGAATTTCTTAAATGACTTTAACGAACTTACGAATCTTTCTACTTTTCGATTTTATGAATTCTTCGAGTCTCGTTGATCTTTCCAAAGAATTAACGGAAAAGTAAAAATGTTTCTCCATTGTGTATACTGCTTTCGATTCTTACAAT